GCATTACCACAAATTTTGCTTAATGGAAGCATGCTGAGGATGGTAACCCAGTTTGATATTCCAAGGACGACTCTCAAGAGAAGGGAGAATGACAATGATGTGTTTCATTTAATGAATAAAAGGGCTAAGTGGGTTTTTTTTTAATTTATTTTATATTTTTTATGGATTGCTTTCTAAGTACTGACTTTTCTCCAGGACATTCATTGATAAACTAGTTAATAGTGTACAAGCCTGGATAGCCTTAAATAAGAGGAGCCTGTAGTGATTTTAAAATAAAATGCTGATAAAGTAGGAATTTTCTATCTAGAGAGATGTTCTGGAGCTGCATAGCAAGGATGGCCACAAAGTGGAGGGGTTTATCCCCAGCTCTGTGGTGGTCAGGCAGGTACCAAGAGTTAGTGGTGTTAATACCTTACCTAACTAAGAGTTATTTGGTGTTTAAAAGAGTTATTACCTTTGGTGATCGTTCACCAACGTTTCCCAGTGAGGCCTCGTCAGGACCTGGGCATGGAAATGTGAACCTGCAGATCAGCACAAAACACATCGCAGGCACAGTCCTGCTCATGCTGTACGTTCCTCAAAGGATTTACTTGAGCACATGACTATGTCAGGACCTGTTGTTTCCAGAGATACCACATACTTGGGTTTCACCTGAATTTACTTTTAACAAATGCCACAGAAGCTTAAAAAGCTGAAGAGACGCAGCTTGTGTCATCAAAGCAAAAGGTTAAGGCTGTATTCTGGTGCTGAAAATGAACTTACAAACCCGGAAAGCTGAAACAACAAATGCAACATGACACCAGACCCATCATTCATAGCTGAGGCTTATAAAAGATGGCTCTCAGCCCCCCTACATGGGAAAGCGTCAGGAGCAGCATCTTCTGCTACTCCTCAGAGAAGGACCTCCAAGGCAGCTCAGCTGCTTGGCACCTCGGCGACCTCACTGCTGTTCCTCCAATGCAGCAGCCCTGCGGACCGGCTCATCTCCCCTCCTCTGGTTTCCAAAATGTCCCTCCCCCTCCCAGAAGGAATGCAGCTGCTGGAGTTACAGCAAAGATGGCTGGGCCAACTGCTTTCCTCCATCTTTCACTTCAGCATCTTTCTGAGGATAGAGTACAACTGTATTTTTTAATTAGCACTTTCTAACTGAAGCCATCTTTCTTCAAGGCAGTTATAAAATGAAGAAGGATCTGTCATCCCTGCAGCTGATAAGGCTTCACGGAAATCCCACATGACGCTCTGGTAACAGCCCTCAGAACCAGCATTTGCAGGGCTGTGCTCCCACTACTGTCCACCCCAGCCTCCCACACCCCTTTCCCACAGCTCCCTACGATGGTGCCCAAGATGGGTTTAGCTACCTACCGTGGCAACTGGTTTCACGAGCAACAGGGGTCTTACAGGCCTTACCTTGGTCGTCCAGGTAAACAAGCAAGAGCCAAAGACTGACATTCATGTGCCCTGCAAGAGGTGTGCAACTTAGGTGTCCCCTTGACTGTGCCCAACCACACTGGGCTGGAGGTGCCATGACCTCGCCAGCAGCTCAGCAATGCCGTAATCCCCCCTCCGTGGGACAGGAAGGACTCCTAACGCATCAGGAGTGCTACTCGTGGCAGAGAGAGAAAGTAGCCCGAGTTTCGTTTGTCTCTCTCACAAATCTGCCTTTGCTTGAGCCTTCATGCCACAGTAGGTACCTAAGGGGGACTTAGGCATGGGGTGGGAGCCCTGAACACAGTCCTCTGAAGGCTGCGGTGTTCTCTGCCTCATTTGATTCATATTTAAAAAAGAACTGCCGCCATTTCTTTGGTCCATTTTGTGCATTTTGACTATGAGCTCTTCAGCACTGAGGCTGCTGCTATACCATATGGATGTACATGGCCCAGCAGACCCAGCCTTCAGCTCTTGTCAGAGCCTCCAAACGCTACTGTAGGACAGATAAAGGCCTATGAATAACACATGGCCCTGTCTCGTTCAGGTCAAGATCCTGAAATGAGAGATGCTGCTTTAAGTTCAGTTTACCCTCTCGGGGAGGAAGCACACACAAAAAAAAGTTGTTCTTTAGTTAGTTATTCATTAGGAGCTGCACGGAGCTATAAGGAAACAGGATGATGAAAGAGCTCTCACAGCATTTGGCCTCTCATTGCAGCACCAGGCAGGTAAGCAAGCGTCCGACCTTCGCGTGGAAAAAGTCAAAGTCCTCAAACGAACTCACCATGTAGTCACCTGCCTCCGCACTTCTTGGTCCCTGGTTAGCAGAAGGGGGCGGAGGGGTGTTTGCTTAAGCGCTTCCTCATGCTTGGACTTGCCATTTAGTGGAACACAATAGTGTTATTGCATTGGGATTTCTTTCTAGGGGGAGGTTCCTAGCAAATTCCTGTTTGAGCGGGAGAAAGGAAGGGGCTTGAATCCAGTCCTTGGTCTGCAAGCCCAGGCCTACAGGCCAGGAAGCTGGGGCAGGTGGCAAGACAGGGACAGAGGAAGATGGGGGTAAAAACACTGAGGTCCCTGATACATGGAAGTTGAAAAGATTTTTATAAGATTTCTTGCATTTTTACTGTTCTGTCCTCCCCCTTCGTTAGATGCCACTCATAGCATATAGATACCCTTAAATCTACATGGCATAATGTAACATTAAAAGACTATTACAACAGCTATCATCATTTAGACCAATTCTCACTACTAAATTGAGATATTTTATCTTGTTTTCTAGGTCATATAGTTTCCTTGGTATGTCATCAAAGCATCAAACAATAAAAATAGGAGACACTCTGTTCTAAAAAGTAAATGGCATGCATAACACACACATAACTAGTAGTACCATTAATATGACAAGAAAAGCCAGATCTGAAAAGAAAAATTCCAAAATCAAGCTTCAGAATTTTATCAGACAATTCCAAAGTTTTCTAAAGATTCAAACAAAAGTAAAAAAATCCTCTTTTGTTCTAATGTAATTTTCTGTGTTTCATTTGTATATTAAAATAGCGTTTTTATCCCCAAAAAAATCTTAATCAAAAAATTCCACAGGCAGAGCCAGCGGGGAAAAGGATATGTGGGCTGGGTAAGGCAAACACAGAAGCAATGAGACACTTTAAAACTCACTGGAGATGGGATGGATCCGTGTGCCAGTGACAGATGTATCTACTTAATCTAGTTTGTGCACAGCTTCACCCAATAAGTCCTCCTTTGGAAAAGTGAGATATCAGTCATGATGACTCCATCAGAAAAGGAGGTGGACTCTCAGATTTACTTATCTCGATCTTCTTAAAAGCACCCCTAACTTCCTTGGCAGCAGTAGCCAAGCAAGAGCTGTACAACATTGTTTTCCATGGTCTGGTCTAAATAGCAACTCAGCATATGCGGTAGGGAGCTCCCAAAATAGCTCCCGGTTGCCTCACCAGTCTCAGCAACAGCTTGAAAAGCCTTTTGTCTTCTGGGACTTGGAGGAGTTTAAAGTGTTTGGACTTATTTTGAAAGTATTTTCAAAGATAAGAACCATATATTCCAAGATGGGGTGAACTGAAGGTCACTGTTAAGATATTGCACAACGTAACGAAGTAGGTTTAGCACAACTTGCACAGGATTTGATCAGCTCACAGTTGCTGCTGCCCCCACCTAAACTCAGATCAAAGTTGGGGCCCTTCTGCACGGGTACGTCACCAGGCCAACCGCTGTCATCGTCTGTCCCAAAGTGCAGTCAAGGCAGGTCAGTGACAGGAGGACACGGGTCTTCGCTGCGCCACCCTGCTCGGCCAGAGCACTGTTAGTGGATCCTTTAGAAAACCCAGCAAGGTAGATCAATTTTTGAGCAACTTGGGGAAACTATAATGGCTGCAGGACACGTGCTCGCTCTCATGCTGGGAATGCTAATACTCACTTCACCCAAGTGAAAGGCTATTTTTTTGACTATGTATGTCTTACATTTCAAACCGTGTCTAGCTAAGACAAAGTCCACGCAGCTCTTGCATTAGCTATATTAAACAAGAAGGCAAAGGTGATATCCCTAAGCTGCTTTTTATACTGCAGGATTTTGGAGCAACGTTCCTGTGAGTTTTGCACGGACAATGCAGCAGTCATAGTCCTAGACTCATTGGAAACCCCTCCCTGCTGCATATAAAAGCTCCTCTTTTTTGAAAACATCATTTACTTTTGGAAAATGACGCCAAAAACATATACATCTGTGGCTTCCCGTCAGTGCAGGAGAACAGTTTTTGTCCACATTTCTCATGTTTCTTAGCACGCTCTCCTGTGCCTCGGCCAGAGCTATCAATATAACTTTCTGCTGAGTCAGGCTGCTGGTTTCCTTATCCCAAATCCCAAACGGGTGGTTTCAAGTACTCCAGACATTTTTCAGCTATAGTTTGAAACCCAACCAAGCCCACAGGGATATAATTCTTCTACTGACTGACTTGCAATTGAATTGGTTTTCTCCCGGGAAGAGCAAGCAGGCCTGCAAAAGCAAGACTGCAACAGCCATCCCAGAGGCCAGCACCCCCTTCCCAAAAATCAAGTGAACTGCTGGGATGGGCAGTTTCGTTTTTTCTTTAACTCTATGATTCATGCTGTTTATCATGAAAGTGATCTTGGTCACAAACTGCCTGCTGCAAACATCCCTGCACAGCTCGGGACCTTGTATAGCCCTGCCATCTATTTTATAAACGTGCTTCTCCTGCCGGTGTCCCTTCCCAGAGCTGGCACTCCTCAGCCCAGAGCACCTCGAAGGCGCGTTGCTGGTCACAGTGGATTCAGCGCCCAGGGACTGCTCCTGAGGACGCCCCCGCTTGGGGGTTTCCAGTCGAACCCTTCAGCATGGCCATGTCTGGAGCCCGCCGAGGCCAGTATAAGCCAGTGTTCCCGTTGCCTCCAGTGGTCTCGGGATCAGGCTCCTCTCCCCAGCCTCCACCTCCCCCAGCCACCCTGTTACACTTGGTTGCTCTGAAATCGTTCATTTTCCAGATCCTGCGTCTAGATGCCTACGATATAATAAAACAGAGCAAAGGCAAATCTGCAATGTAGAGATCCATTATGCTTTATTTACATGCGTCACCATCTCTTTTACAAACTAGATTACAATTTAAAATGGAATACACAAGGCAATATCTACTAACACCAAGTGGAGTAAGCACTGCGTCTCAACTTCGTTTGGAAAGGGGCAGAGCTCCAAAACAAACTTGCTTCCAATCTCTGTGTAGTAAGGTAGTATATTCATCCAGGGCAGCATCTTTTTTTTTTTTTCTATAAAATCCTCCCTAAGAATGCAACATGAGAGTGTCTGCTTTCAAATGAAAGTACAAGATAGCCCAAATGCAAAGTATAAACTGTTCAGCTCTTCGGTATGTAAAGATTGCCATGCGTGATAAGGCTGTGGATTTAAAATTCTTCCAATTTACATGGCTTGAAACAAAAGCAGATAAAACAGCTTTACAGATACTGTATACATATTTTTTTCAATCATGCAACTTTTATAAAAAAAGTTAAACATGTGAAGCCAAATGTACAATCCATTTTTTCCAACCCACAGTAACGAAATGTATCTATCTGGTCCCCCTTTGCATCTGTTGGCATTCCTAATGTACATTGTGTACTAAAAAACAATTACAGGACACTGATTGCCAAGCAATGACATCACTTTAGAGAAATACATGACCTAAAAGGTAGCTTTTTGGAGCAGTGGCACAAATACTTCTGGAATTAGGCAGTGGCCAACTAACTAATCAAGAGAAAAAAATTTACAAAATTATTAAATAAAACCCCAACCCTGTGACTGTAGGAACTGCATAAATGTCACCTTTTTTAGAACTTTTTTTAGACAAAGGGTTTAAGCAATACCTGTGTAATTCTTCTGGACCTGTATCTGTTTTACATGACTTCAGAAGGAAAATTTCTATGCATAAAGATGTTCAAAGACTCAAAGGCCAAAGTTTTTCAAAAGGTAGGTTCCCAAAATCAGCCATTTTTATCTATATTTTGACATGGAAACAAGTGACCCTTTGAATTCGGGAAGATGTATTTATCCAGTGCCTCTGAAGACGACGGCAATTCTTAGACACCTAAATGCCCATGTAGGGCAGTGATCTTCCAGTGGGCCTCCAGCAATCAGGCACCTCTCCTTCCCCGGAAAAGCAACGAGAGCAGAGCAGCTAGCCCTGTGAGACCACTTCGAAGTCCCCGCCTTAGGTGCCTGGCACGAGGCGCTTCAGTTTGAAAATTTTGGCCACAAAAACGAGCAAGAGAGAAACCAAAGCAAACTGAAGAGGTTGTCCAAGCCCATCCCTCTCCAGTTAGTGCAGGGGACATCCTCAAAAGAAGAGGCCCAATCTGTCCTAGACAAGCCAATGAAAATGCTTTCCTCGACATTGCTGGGAGGTAGATTAGGCCTTTCAGCTGCTAATGCTTTTAATATTTTTCAAAAAACTTCTCTGCCATTGACTGGTTGTCTCCAAATCAGTCGGGTTTTTTCCTCCATTTTCTGAACAGAGCGGACCATATTTTTCCCTTTCATTGACGTCAGCGTGAGTTAGCTCCATGAGCTTCAATGGAGCTATGCCGCACTGCTGAGAGCAGAAATCGCCCGGCTATGTTTAAACTGACCGCCTGGTGTGCGACAAGGACAGCTTCCGTACCGAGAACAAAAATTAAACAACGGATTTTCGTCATGCCATCCGGCTAGGCTGGAGCCGGATTATAGAGAGGTCTTGGTGGCGGTCCCCAGCTCCTTGGTGGCTCGAGGGCAGCGCCCCGTCCCTGGGAGGGGGGACTGCAGAGCGAGGCTGGCCAAAATGCGGGGTGCGAGCCGGCGGGGGAAAGGCCGCCAGCGTGATTCATGTTTCCAGACATACCGGGGACTTGACAACCACGGGTGACCGCTGTACGGCCTGGGTGATCTGGACAGCTGGCTACTGGAAATATCTCCCCAGATATGGAGATCGGCAATCAGCCTCAGCTAACTCCAATAAACATATAATAAACTAGTCCCCAAACTGACCAATAAACTGCCTTGATGTAAAAACAAAAAGAGAAGTTTATTTAAAAGGAGAATGATAAACCCTTAGCTGCTTGGAAGAGTTGGTAGGCTACAGGGCTATGATAACCACAACCGCACAGAGCTTACACAGCCATAACTGCGTGGTGCAACCAAGAGGCGCAGCGGGAGCGTGAGGAGGTCACAACACAAAACAAAACTTCCATCACACAAGGAGCTGTTACTTCACCAATATCACCTCAGGGACCTGGCAAGTAAGGAGCAAAGTAGGGCCCACAAATGCTTGTGTTGTGTCTGTGTGCGTGACTGTGCGTGTGCGCACGTGTGGTGGCCGTGGCGAAAGGGAGTCACTCCACATTGCATGGTAACACGTATCAGTGGGAACTCATGCACTGAAACTTTGGGTTAAAATGCTAGTTTGTTTTCCTAACATCCATGCATAATGAGCCATTTCTGTACATAATAAAATATATTTATATATTTATATGCATAATGCCTTTATGCAAAGAAAAAAACTTCATATATCGCTTTGGAGAATCATGTATACACTGTCCTATTCAGAACTTCTTCAAACCAAGTTCATATGTACCATTGGTGTTTTCCCCTCTTTTTTCACATCCCTCCCCCCCCAAAAGATACTAATAAAAAGTAATCAAATTTTCCAGATTATAGAGAGGATCTATACAGCACCATACCTTTTATTCATTATTATTAATTCATTATTATTCATTTTACAAAAGAAAATCTTAGAAGCAAAATATATAAAACTGCCTTGTCTTTCAGTGTCATTTATCCTGTTACAATCTATGCTCATATGAAAAGCCATTTGTACGATACTGTCACCTTGCCATTCCCTCTCCTGCTTCTTCCACAATGGATTATGCATAATGAGAAGGAAAAAATAATCAAGGATATGTCAAAAAAAAAAGAAAAAAGAAAAATCACTGACGCAGTAACACACCCTGCAATGATCTGTGCCTGAACTCCTGACGTTGCCGCTGTCAAGCTACTTGCTGATGCAAGCTTATCTTTTCTGCCAAGTGGTGCGTTTTCCTTTCCTTCAGCCTCCCGTTTTTAAACAGATCTTTACGGGTGGTTATGTTCAACTTGTCTGGCAACAGAGGGGCAGCTCAGCTTATGACTTCTTCCCAGACGACTGAGGCAGCCTAACTGTGCCTCGCTGCGGCAGCAAGGGCAGCCCTGCCAACATAACGTGAGAGGGGAGACTGCTCCGGCTGGCAGCGAACCGGGTCCCGCGCCCGTAAACGTGAGGGCAACGGCCTCCTCGCTCAGCCACTCCTCACGAGCACGGGCCAAGAGGCAAACGGGTTGGTTGCCCTTGTTTTCTAATCAGCCCTGGTTCGACGCTTACGGGAAACAGGGGTGTACCATTAAATTTAAGAAAAAGAGTAAAAAAACAAACAAACAAACACAACCCAACAAACAGACCACACAAGTCACCTCTCGCTGGAAGTCGGTCAGTTGATTGGTATAATGACTGCTGTATAGTCAGAAAACCTCGTGTCAGAGCAATGCAGGGTTATGATAATCAGGATAAGATTTCCTTGCGCGTAGGCTGTATTTCAGATTTCCCCAGGGAGAGAAAGCAAAAATGGTCAAAAATCTAAGGAAATCAAACTGGAGGCTGGGGAGGAAAGGGTGGGCAGACAGGGAAAACCTCCAAAAAATAAAAAGCCAACTTAAAACATCCCATAAACCATTAATATATTGAAACACCACATACTCATTGACAAAGAACTACTGTAAAGGCTACACAGTGTGTTCTCAACAGGATGGTGCTGAACATTGTCTCCACAGCAGGTGTTTGGCCATCCCAGAAAAGGAAGATTTTGCATACTTTAGAATGAGTTCAATTCCAAAAAAAAAAGAAAGAAAAAAAAAAAAGAGGATCTTCACTCAAGAAAGGGGCTTATTAACAGTCTGCTTCATTACGAAAATAATGCAGGGTTCACAAAGGTCGTAAGCTGTAAACAGTATCACTGTCCACTTGCTGACAGCAGATTTGGCAAAGGGTTCGCTCTCTCTCTATGTCTTGTGTCAGTTTGAGGGCCTGGAGAGGAAGAAGAAAAAGAAGAAAAGACAGTGAGGTTGTTGCACATACAGGGGGGGAAAAAAAAGAAAAAATAACCAAAAAAGCCAACCAAGGGAACTTCTAAACCCAACAGCAGTTTAAATTGACAAGCAATTTTCATTTGTTTGTACCCAAAAGCTTCAAATCTTGGAGCAAGGAGTAAGTTGTACGCTGATCCCTCGTGAAAATACTTCTCTCTTGCCAAGGTTTGTGTGTGCTTCTTTACTACCTTAGCTGCTACCAGCATTAAAGCAAAAAACTCTCTCTTAAAGGAAAAACAACGGCCAAGTCTCAGGTACAGAAATTCAGCACATTGCCCATTTGTTCGGCATATTTCCAGGTGAAGCATGGAAGGATCCTTCAGTTTTTCTCCATTTTTCATGATCATCCTTTCTCAACATCACCAAAAGGCTAGACTAATCTTCTGTCAAGGTTTGACACTGAACACTGCCCTTGAATGACAGCTGAAGAAGGCTGCTCAAGAGAAGCAGCAAGGAGCCACAAATTTTGTTTGGACTTTTTTGAGTTTTGACTTTCCTGCACAGTGCAACGTACCATCAACAGACAGCCCGAACTGGGATTAAAAATGTGCTTTGGGCCCAGTTCTTTAGCTAACTGTGAAAATTTTGTGTAGAGGGAGACTGGAAAGGGACACCCTTGGGTGTAGCAGGGGGGATGACTACAAAGGGACGCAGCAAAGTATGTAAAACATTGAGAACAGAAAACATTTCAGCTTGCCAAGGGGCCAGGTTTTCAAAGGTACTCAGTGGCTTAAAGATACAGGTAGGCACCTAGTTGGGTTTTGAAAAGTATGTACTTTTAGACATTCCCATGAAATCCTTCTACACCTTCAGAAATCCCACGTGACAGCCATCTGCACTGCTTGGCACGTAACTTCTCTTACAGACCTGTCCCTGAAGAGGCTTTTGAAATCAGGGCTTTGTCCCCAACACCACTTACAAGAGTTTGAAGATTTTCCCCATGATGAACAACTCATGATTTTACCCAGCCCAAGAACAATGGGACACTTGCTGAAACCAACAAGCAATTTAAATTGATTACAGGAATGTCTCTACTCTCTAATGAACCTGCTATCAGGCCACCCTCGGAAAAAAGGGTGGATTTAGGGGGACTGCTGGACCAATCTGGTATTACAATTCCTATGTTCCTGTAAAAGAAATCACCCAGTGCATTAGAAAGGCCATCGTGAGATGACTCTCCGCTACTGCAGAGGATATTCTGAGGTCTCTCCTTCTTAAGGTGCCAGACAGTGATCCTGCGATAACATTTCATTAAAATGACCTATTCTGATAATGCTAAATGATTGATGGGAATTTAATCATTTTGTCTTATGGTTATTAGAGCAACAGCATGACAGCTGCTCCCGGTACCATTAGGCGAGCCCTTCATTCAGAATGGCTTAGGGAGCAGACAGATTGCGCATTTCACCCAGACAAAATTTGGCTTTAGTCTTAATTATGTGGGCTTTTGGGGGGGTAGGCTGTTTTTATGAATAAAGGGATTTCTGACTGGATCAACATATTGATTTCTTCATTTCCAAAGAGTAAATTAATACTAGCCGTTCGTCAGTGTGACTGCCTGGCAACGACTCCATTTAGTAAGCGCGTGCTGTTGGCCGTAGCAAGGTCACTCCAAGACATCCAGACAGGCCTGGTAACTCCCAGTATAACCTGGGTTGTGACTTGAATGTGGACCAGATAAGTCCTTGCCCTTTTCACTACCGTACTCCCCAACTTTTCATTAAAACCTTGGCACCTGTGAGGCTGGAAACCAATGACTTCCCAAAGCGCAAATTCACTACAGGGAAAAGCCTCCGTCCTGAGCGCTGCAGCTTGGCAAAGCAGGGAGGCTTCACTCAGCAGCCATTTAAGCTAAGCGTGGGCTTAGCTGCAGCACGTGTGAGAAGTCTCCCTGACTTCAAGTGGAGCTATTAACTAAAAGCAAGCGAGTACAGAAACTCCTGAATAAGTGCCAGAGTAGTGTTTAACATTTAAATTAAAAATGTATGTAAAACATTGTACTATGAAAACTGGAGGACAGATGATCATGGACATAATTTGTGTAAGTGGCACTGCCTGGTATTTTTTCTGAGAGCGCCTGTCCTTCGGACGTTACAAACGTTTAAGAGCCTTAGGCTGAACAGACTGATGCACAGCTAAGGTGGCGTTTGCTCACAGCAGAACCAAAACACGTTCCGTGTTCACAGCTCTGTTTATATGGACTTTGCAAACGGATTAGAAATTGAAAAGAAGTAGATCAAAGTCTTAACCTACATGCCTTTAAATTACCCCATTAAAGTCTACAACAGACACACACGCTCTCGCCTTCTGTCTCTCCACAAAAAACTATCAACTTTGACTTAGTAGCCTGCTATTTCCTAGCAATGAAAACTGTATCAGGCAAGGAAGTAAACACTCACAGAGCCCAATCCTCTGGCTCTAATATGTGGCATAGTTTCTTGTTTCCTTAGGCTGGGGGGAACTTTGGGATAGGGAGCTTCCCAAAAAGCATCCTCTGCCTATTCTTCTTAAGCCGCTCCCTGGAAAATTCAGTTGTCCTTTGAAAAGTTCCTGCGCCAAATCTGGAGTCTACATATCATCAGCAAGTGAAAATAAGGGATTTTACACTTTCTTCTGAAGTTCGGCGCAGTCTTCGCAACCACACTGACACCTGAGTCCTGCCACCCACGCACATGTGCACACAAAAACACACAAGCACACACGCACTGTATTTTCTGATTCTTTAGTGTGCAAGGGATTACGTGGGAGATGAGACGCCCCTTTATTCTTTCCTTTTCTACTCCCTCCCCTCCTCTAGCTTGCTACTTACCTGCTAGAAATGCTACTCTGGCTTTTCTCTGAGACTGAGTCCTTGGTTGGTATTTCCTTCCCAGCAATAGCATTTCCTTACCTCTATCTCACCTCATTGCACCACTTAACTGGAAGGGGCTCTCCCAAGCCCCATGTCAGCTCGTGCATCATCAGAGAAGCTTTGAAGTATCACCTGCCATGTACTGCTTTCTCCCTTGGAGTCCCACCGGTGCTAATTACGCAGCACTGGAAATTTCTTCAGAACAGAAAGGTGACACACTGATGCTCCCCGAGAGCAAGGCACAGATAATGTGCATCGGTGGTGAGTTTATCAGTAAGGTAACCATAACAAATCAGCACATACAGCGTTTGCAGAAAGAAAAGTCATGGGCACCTTTACAGAATTATATTGTTAGAAACTGTGCTATCAATATATAGCTCCTCCACCTGGCAGCTTACTAAAGAGCTCCTGATTTGGCTGAAAGTCTTGTTGAGTGGACTGCATCTTGAAAAATATCACCACTCAAAGCTCCATAAAATAAGTGTTTTCCCTGGGTACCACTCAGTACTGCTCCCCAATGACAGGAAATCCCAATAACTACTTTTATAAGTAACTGTCCAGAGGTTTTGGATGTAAACATGTTGAAGGAAACTTTCATCCTTCAGTGGTAGACGTACATTTATTCTAGTGCCTCTGTCCCTTGTTTTTGTGACAGCCACCAGCAGTACTACTTCTACTCTAAACGGGGGTAGGCGCAACAAGCAATACTTGATTATGTATGTTGACCGCTCT